TAAGCGAGCGAATGACGGCTGCGAAGAACCACACAACGATAAGAAGGGGTATCTTCCAGGGCGATTGTCTGAGTCCAATCTGGTCCTCTTACTCTCTAAACCCTTTCAGTTCCTTACAGGAGGGCTCCGGGAGGGGATTTCAGCTTCGGAAAGGAGGTACAAAGGGACCCACCTTTTCTATATAGATGGTCTCAAATTATTCGCCTCCAGTCGCTCCCGTCTTGTGGAATTGCTAAGCATCATTTGTGATTTTCGCAATTCTCTTGGAATGGAGCTCGGGAGGGATAAGTGTGCGGTCCTCCATGTTGAGAGGGGTAGGGTTTTTAACTCTGAGGACATAGTCTATGCCCATCAACATAAGGAAAGAAGGGATACCTGGGTATGTCACAAAGTATAGGTATTGATGTGGCGGACATGAAACAAATAGAAACAAATATGAAAATGAAATATCTATTGAACTCGACAAAATCTTTAGATGGCTTAAAAGTAACAATTTAAAAATAAACTTAAATAAAACCAAGTTGATACAATTTAGGGATTTTAGAACTCCACCTATTGTATTGAACATCTGTTACGATAGTACAAAAATTGAAGAAGTCAACTGTACTAAATTTTTAGGATTAATGGTTGACAGACACTGTGACTGGAAGAATCATACAGAGTACGTATGCGATAAACTGGAGAAATTTGTTTATGCTATAAAACAGCTGCGGTTGACAGTGTCTAATGAAGCGGCACTGAGTGCTTACCATGGCTATGTCTCCTCAGTGCTTTCATACGGTCTCTTGTTGTGGGGCAACGCGGTTGAGGTTGACAAGGCCTTTCGTGTTCAAAAGAAGTGTGTAAGGGCTATTTGTGGAGCTTGGTCTTTAGATAGTTGTAAACCTTTATTTCACAAATTTCACATACTGCCTTTAGTTTGTATGTACATACGGGAACTTTGTGTTTTTGTCAAACAGCATCCACAATATTTCACCATTAACTCAAGTTTAATCGGTAGAAGTGCCATGCCAAGAAATAAACTTAAACTCCATCTGCCTCTATACAAGCTTGACATATATAAAAGAAATGTATTTATAAATGCTATTAGAGTTTACAATAAATTGCCTAACACTTTTAAATACCTCCCTTTCGTATTTTTTAAAAGGAAACTCACAGAATGGCTGGCAACAATATGTTTTTATAGGTTAGACGAATATATGAATTATAAACAAATGTAAAATAATGGTGAAATATAGAAAAACTTATTAATTCTTTTAATATTTATTTTATTTTATTTTCTTTTGACAGGTTTTTTTTAGATACTATCCATTTATATATAATCAATTACCTAATTAATTCAATTTTTGACATATATTTATTGTAACTTAAAAACTTGGCGCTAAAATATTTTTAAACAACTACATAATTATTTTTATATACACATGTGACATATATATACATAATAAATAAAATATTAATACTGATAATAATCATTTATTTCATACCATAATCAATGCGTTAATAACAACACATATAAACTGTGTTAGTATACAATTGAAATAATTAAGAAAAACAATATAAAAGACTTAATATGTCTTGATTGTCGACTACAGAATCAAGTTCAAAAATCTTTTATAACATAACGTCCAGAAGGTGTGGTTATATACTTGGGTCGCTCATGATAATGCTTGCCTTCTACTCGAATGATTTCGCCGTCATTGTCCAGCTTAACGCGCGCTTTACACCCCAAGGATCTTTTTGGACAGTGGTAATTCAACGGCCGAGTGCTCTGGGTGTACGTATATCCGTCCATAAGTAACGTATTCGTGCCTCTTCGCGTTTGTATTAATTGATAGTCCTGCCGAACTAAAATTAAAAATACAATCAGTTCCATCGTAATCATCCCAAACCTTCGCTAATCGTCATTGTCTACGCTTTTTTTTTTGACAAGAGTGACAAATGAGCACACAGTTCACCTGATGGTTACTGGATGCTAGGCCCATAGACATCTACCGATGATCGTACCATAGAAATTTATCGATTAAGAATTAAAATGCAGATGCGTTGTAGCCCCGGAGGACTAAAGTGGAATGGAACAATTGTCTTTGGCACCCAACTTTAAGGTGTTACATCTTAATTTTTTTTAATAGAAAATATATTAAGTTTTTTAAATAAAAAATAAATGTAATGCCTCATTTCCAGTAAAAAAAGGTCTCCGGTTCTTTACACTCACCATACGAAATACGGCAGTTTTAAACTGCTATTTCACGCTCGTATTCTGTGAAAGCATGGTCCTACCCCGGACGAGCCGACCCATTCGTGCTACAACCATAATATAGCTGCAGCATTGCTCTACCACGTATAAGGTAGAATATAAAAAAACTTTATCTACAAATTACTTCATCGGATATTGATTAATGGGAAGTTATAGGATGTTTCACAAAGTGCATGCCAACTAGGGGTGTAGGGAGGCCTATGCCCACAATGAACTTAAATAGGTTGGGGAATAAGAAAATGAATATTCACGTTCAAAATCCGCGACCGTAACAACGGAAACCCATTTAAGTTACATAAAATGAACAAAAGTGGCCTATGTAAACTTTTCTCTTAAGCAGTCTATGCAAGTTTCGAGAGAAATCAACGCGAGCGTAGACATGTAAAGACAGAATATAACAATATTATTTAATATTTCCTTAATAGCTGTGTAGTGACGGTGCAAAAATAAACAGTACTGCTAATCGTCCCGTGAGGACTCGTAAGAGACGACACAAGGAAATAAACCATGAGATGGACAGCAGCGTCGTATTAACTACAAAAAACTAAATGGCCGCCGTTGCCAATCTGCCTGCCAAGCGCGGCAACTTTGGCAGACATCCCACTATGAGGCAATCTATGGGATATATGTTCAGTGGACGTTTGACAGACTGTAACGGTAAACTTAATAACGAACGCTCACTGAATGGCAGAGCAACATGAGGACACACCTACCTAAGGTGTTTCTTAGTTTGACATTATGGCGCGTCTCCACCAAATTTTTCAACATTTGTCAACACGTGTTGCCGACAAATGTTTCTGTAATCACCTAGTTTTAGCAACAAAACGAAACATGTCGGGAAACGTGCTTCAAATTTCGGCGGCTACATCAAAGGGCGCTGCTTGCAACATTTTGAAACAAATGTCGTCAACTTTTGTTGATTTGTCAACAGTCGGAAACATAAATATTGTCAACATTTTTGGTGGAGACGCGCCTTTACCTATCCTTCTTTTCATCATTGAAGACGAGCGGGGCAGAAATACCGAGACTGCTCCGAAGTGAGACGGGTTGAGGCGAGCAACCCTGTTTGTTGACAAGGCAAGGTAAATGAGTTCTCCACACGCTAGCGTTGGGTTTCATTCGGCCTACTAGGCAAGCGACGAGTGAAAGCAAGACAAGCTAAATGAGCTTCCAAAATGTGACGCTTAGCTTAAATTATCTAGGTTGGTCGAACATTTGGAATACCAGCGTTAAAGAGCAGCCAAATACTGCTGTTTCGTGAGTGTAGAGAATTAAAGAATCTTTTTACTGAAAATGGTGTGTACATCAGGGGTGACAACTCATCTGTATTCTGATTCTTAATCGAGGATAAATGAAGACGTCTATGGGCCAGAGCATCCACTTATCATCAGGTGGACTGTATTCTCGTTTGTCGTGTGTGAAGTCTTTAAAAATCAGTTTGGGTAAATAGCAGTGCATCCACTATTGTAATCAAGTTTGAAAGGTAAGAGCGCCAGTTTATCAACGAGCTGCGGACTTAATTTTACAAAAAACATTGGGATTTTAAAATCAGTTAAAATTAAACGCTATATCATCGGTTAAATTAGTTTCATTCATTGTAAAGCATTCGTGATAAATTTAAATTCAAACACTGTGTATGAACTTTTACAGCGTTACATACTATAAAACCTACTTAAAATACACGTTTATAGTTATAAAGCATATGAGTTACTTATTATGGCCATTTATTATGTTCTACATACAATCTACCCTTAAAAATTAAAGCCTCTTAAAATATAGAAATCGGTACAAGTTTTGTGTTTAAAACAATTCTGTGTTTGAACTAACTCATTTTTTAACCAATTACACGATTGTGCACTTGAAACCCATTGTGATATATGCTACTTCAACAATTAGAAAGAATTATACTTATAACATACATATCATGTAAGTTTACATAAACTAAATTACATTTTACTATCTGGTGGTAGCTTAAAATAATCCTTCAGCCGGTGTAGTAAAGACCATCTAATTCAAGAAATATATTTTCTATTTCATTAATTCATTTATCATCACCATCATCATCATTACAACATGTAAAAGTCCCTTGCTTCAACATTGGCCAAACCCATAGATTGCGTTATAGTGGGGACACGTTTTGCAACGTTTGGCAGTTGCCACACTTTGCAGGCGAGTTGGCAATCGCAGATCATGATTTTTATGTTGCTATCAGGAAGGTGCTGCTGCCCATCTCCTGTTGCATTTCGCTCTGTCATCTAAAGCCGCGTCTCCACTAAAGTTTTGTAAACATCAAAGGAATACGCTTGTTGCCAACATTTGTTCCCTCGGTGGAGATGCTTGTTGGAAACAGTTGTAAATAGTTGGAAACATAACTGTTATCAACATTTTTGGTGGATACGCGGCTTAATCGACACCCACGCAATGATATCAGGTAGTAAATTCTCTTACGCCGGCACTTTACAGCGATGTATTAAATTACTCTAGTCTGCAAACCGTGGTAACTATTACCCCACAATCCCACCTATATGGCAGTTTTTAGGAGGAGACCAATGTTCAAACTTTTAATAGTTTGTAATAGATAAATATAAAAAACCCATGTGTGCGAAGAATTGCATGACTATGTCTCTGCCCTTACCAGACCGATGGCTCAGTGCACATCCTCTAAGGTAATATCAAGAAGTAGCCAAAAAAAGGAATGAGAAGCTCATTTATAAAGTAATTTATATGTACGCGAAGAGTCATTCTAGCTGTGTAACTTGACATAAATTCCGTCAGATGTCACCATGTATTTAGGCGGAGGATGAGTGTGCCCAGTAAAAGCTTGCTGAATTAATCCATTGGTCGAAAGCTTCACTCGTGCTTTACAGCCGGCGTCCTTTTTAGAACAGTAAAAATTGTTTGTTTGTTTCATTTGGGAAAACGTATATCTGTTCAACATCAGCAAATATTTGCCACGGCGTGTTGGTATCATTCTATATGCAGCACTTGACACTGAAAAAATATGATATCTTGACGTATTTAAAAATCTAAAGCATATTATTAAAATTATGGTTTGGTACTACACTATTCAACACCTTGTTTAACAGTCACCTGTTCAAACATATTTAACTAGCTGCAGACGTTGTTCTGTCTTTTCCGGTGGCAGGATGAGTTACACTCCGAATAGGATGTAAAAAAAACCGGCCAAGTGCGAGTCGGACTCGTGCACCGTGGGTTCCGAACAAATCCGTAGGTATATAAGTTAAAAATTATTAAAAATATTTTTATTATATGATGTAACTAAAAATTTATGCTTTTCGCAATTTTTCCTTTATCTGTGGTACAATACGTTGCTTCGTACCAAATTTTAAGATTTTGAGTTCATGGAAAGTACCCTGTAGGTTTTGATTCCCTTGCGGCATAAACGGCTGTTATTTGTTTTTTGATTGCGTTGGCTTAGAAGTTTGATTTTTTCACAGCTCCAAGGGACAGTAGACTTGAGTATTTCATATGAATTTCAGCTTGATACCTCCATGCGTTCCTGAGAAAAAGGGTCTTTACAGACAGACAGACGGACAACAAAGTGATCCTATTAAGGGTTCCATTTTTTCCTTTTGAGGTACGGAACCCTAAAAAATAATAATAACTCAACCACAGCCCTACCTATCAAATGCAGATTTTGTGATTTTCTTTTTTGGCAATAAGCCAACATATATTGTGATTATGAGACCTTTTGGTAAAAAAAAAAGAATTTATTAACAACTTCACTATAGCGCTACCTATGAACCACCGTATCGACAAGATAAATACATATATTTATAATAATAATAAACACATTTACTGTGTGAATATAACCTCAATCGTTCACAGATGCACCAGGAAATATATAATACATCAGGGAAAAAGTTTCTTCGTAGTTTTTTTTTTTGTATAAAATTGAAGAAAAATCTTTTTTGTTGCACTGTTTGTATTTGGCTGGTTTTAATATCAATACATAAAGAACATTGAGAAAAATAAAAATAATAAGTAAAAAACACTATCCCGCCATTTTCGTCGACGACCGAGTCCTTTCCGATCGGCTCGATTCATTGGCGCTGCGAAATGTTGCATCCCTTTGCATTTTCTTTCACATCTACCACGGGGAGTGGTCTGAGGAATTGTTCGGATTAATCCCAGCCGCCAAATTTCACGAACGCACATCGCGACAGAACTCCCGATACCATCCACACCATCTGGATGATTGGCGGTCCACCACTGTGCCATTTAGAAGATGTTTTCTTCCTTGCACAGCTTCCTTGTGGAATAGTTTACCACCAGCGATTTTTTCGGACCGATACGACTGAGGGATCTTCAAGAAAAAAGCCTAAAAGGCCGGCAACGCATCTGCAATTCCCCTGGTTCCCCTGGTGTTGCAGTTCTTCATGGGTGGCGGTAGTCACTTAAAATCAGGTGAGCCGCATGCCCGTTTGCCCCATCTCCTATAAAAAAAAATATAAATCTTTTTCTTCTATTGTTTTCTATCCGCCAAAATGAGTGAATCTAACGAAGAAATTCGATACATTCTGAAGATTTATTATAAAAAAAAACGCGACAAAAATGTGTGACGTTTATGGATCTAATGCTGTGCCAATAAGTGTAGCACAAAGTTGTTTCAAGCGTTCAAGCAAGCATCGGCAGCAAATTCTGAGCAAGATCGCCATATTAGCAGTTACGACCATAGCCGAGGAATTGAGGATTGACCATAAAACAGTTTTGCTCCATTTGAAAAAGTCATATTCGGGTACCATATGAGCTCACTGAAAGAAACCTAATGAATCGTGTACTCTTAATGAACTTTGACAAAAAAATGTCTTAAATTTGTATATAAAATACGAAGAATCTTTTTTCCCCGATCTTATATATTAAAGTGTAAGAAGTTAATTTAAATAGCTTTTATAACCAAACTGTAAATAAGGTAATAAGATAATAATGGTTATTTATTATAATAATTAATTGATTAAAATTTAACAAATGTTTTACATTCAAGATTATTTACGTTCAATAAACAATATCTTTCACTAAAGACCCCATAACAGTTTTTTTTTATTAGGATAGGAGGAAAACGAGCATGCGGCTAACTTGATGGTGCGTAACTACAGTGGCTCATGAGCATCTGCTGCACTAGGGGCATTGCAGGAGCACTGCCAGATAAAAGGAATATGGCAGAAGTAAGAGTAGTTAATTCAGGCATTTAATTAATTAAGGAATAGGCTACGCTAAAACTAAATACACTTTATAAAATATTCTTCCCGTTCGCTTTATGGCTCTTATCTATATTTGAACAATAAAAGTTCACGGAATAAATTTGACACAAAACAATACTAATGGCTATGAGACCATGAGACTTGAGAGAGAGAAAATTCATTTATTGTAACGACAACATTGACTTTAATAGACATAAGAATGTGTGTTGCTTAAAAATATATTATATATAAAGGTGTATCGTCACAAATCGGTCCCAACTCGTATCATATATCATCAGCATAATATGCTGTTTGTTAGTTGCCTGCGCTGGTCATCCTTTAAAACAGTAATGAATAAATTCTTAGCAACCTCATCCTGTCAGAGTTATTTCTTGCCTTAAACTCAGTATCATATTACTTCACATATAAATTACTTATATTTATAGTATTAAAGTGTAATGTCCTTCAATCCCATATTTTTTGAAGTTACAACTAAATTTTGTAAGCAACATTGTATTCTTTCAGTGGTTTTCAATTCAACTGCATGTTATTTGTATATGTTACGCTAAATCTTCGTCACCTGTGTTAAATAATTACTACTTCAAAGATACTATTTAAATTTGACGATAAAACCCCCCCACAGGTAGACAAATCGGCGGTTAAGTTAAAACGCAACTTTTAAACAACATTCTAGCTGTTCATAACATAGCGCAAAATGTAATAATTCTATGGTAATAACCTACTTCAAAGAACTAAAAACAATGAAATATTTACCAAATAATATAGGCTTGCTTTAAAGCAAGACTCTGCTTTAGTGTATGTTCACGTTAACTCGCGGGCGCGGTGGCGAGCGCGGTCACGAAATATCTAACACATAGCATTATATCGAAGTGTTCACGTCACGTACAAATCGCAGGTGCGGTGGAAGTAGCGAACAAGCCAGCGACTATTGTCTCTGACAACACATCACACTCGCGCAAACGCCTGGCAGCCAACGTGAACACGAGCTCGCGCAAAGCAACGCGCCGACTGTTGTACACAGATTTCCGACGAAGCTATTATGTAAAAAATATTTAATTATTATTAGTTCTTTGAAATTTTTAGTTGATTTTGGGTAAGAAAGGACATTGTAAAAACTCGCCTCAGAACCAACATATATTTGACAATTACCAAAATTCTTATCCTTAATTATGCATTAGATAACATTCAATAAATAGTAACGGACACTTCTGAATCAAAAAAGTCCTTTTTTATTTTGAATTCACATTGAAAATAACAAAGGACTTTAGATTTTGAACATTGTACCCATTTTTTAATACTAATGTGTTGCGTTTACGGGCTCCTGTGATATGGCCAATCGCACAACTTCACTGACATATTTTAAAAGTTATCATAAACTCAAATATATTACATCTGAATGCGTCAATATTTTAAAATATACCTCAGATTAATATATGCCACAAGGAACTGAAATACGGTAAGATTATCTCTTAGAGTGAGTTGATTCAGACGTTTATGTTTTTGAATATAGCAATTGTCGGTGTGCCTGTCCATGGTGTGATACAGAAACATAAGGCATAATTTGCAACTAGCACACTATTAACACAAACATGACTTGATCGTCGGATTACAAGACACATTTGACGGCTAACTCGCCCGTTCTTATTAGTTCAGTCACTTTAGCATACAAAGAGGTCAACGGAATGATAGATAATAAGCTGAATTTTCGTATATACCTTCATTTTGGCGTTCTAAAAGTTGTCTTAAGTCTCATAAAATCTCGTGTCTGCGTAGTAAGTTATTCAAGGTCAAATGTAAAAAAAAACCAGTTTTTAGCGATTATCTCGGTTTCTATTGTTCCAATAATATTAGCATCTATTGTAAAAATTGTATAGCATAAAATTTGCGACAATTTTTTTCCAAATTCTTTTTGCCTTCAACCGTTTTGCGTACTGTAATGCAAGGTCAATCGTGAATACCTGTGAATACTAACATTTTACATATTTTAAATACATAATATATTCATTTAATAATACTTAGCTACTTTTTGTAATTAAAAACTCATTAAATGAAATATTGTATACCTTAATTTATTGAAAGTACATTTGAAGTAGAAAAATAATTAGGTATTTTATCTTTAAAATGTGTAAGTTGTTAGATATTACATAATATAGTATACTTATTATACATCGTAAAGTTATATTAATTTATTATAGTAAATTTTAAGTAGGAGTAAAACGAGTTAATATATTTTAATTTTATCTTTATTCAGCAGCTATACATTTCTTACGATTTAAATTTAATTGCAGTGAAAATCTATAAATCTTTAATAATTTAAAGAACAAAAGTATTAATTTTCTTCTTCTTCGTCATCATCTTTTGGACGTTCGGAAATTTCTGTTTCATCGGCATCATCTTCGTTGCCCTAAATTGTTGTTTCCAGACCTACCAGAATTTCAGGGTCGAATGCACTCACTTTCTCACAGTCCCTTTGCAATGAAACAGCATTGAGACAAGCTTGCTCATTACACTGGCCAAAAGGTGAATAGCACTGCAACCCCGATTTTCTACACCCGCACCGTGGACCACATCCATTCTTACAAGTATTAAGTAATTCATCGGGAGCTGGTGGTAATATTGTAGCCATAGGCTCCAAGAATTAATTTTGGAGCACCCAACCCCATTCCTGGGGTTCTAAATCATTAACTAGTATTTTATTTTTTATTTTCGTACCAAGTTTTTGACAATATATTAGCATGTGTCACGAAAAGATATGATAGTTAATGATCCTACTTTTCTCGTTATTACTATGTCAGTTAAATATTTTTGTTGAAGTCTTGCTATGATGGTCTTGTCATCTGGGACATACTCAGTAAGGACATTTTTAAGCTCTTTTAATGTGAATTGTGAATCTTCATGGTTTTCTACATAACAAAAAATCTCCTTCATTGCCTCAGTAACTTGATTAGCTTCACGAGGCTTATTCTCAGTAGATGGTGCTCGATTCAAGAAATTAATATAGCAAACGGTATGGTACTTTGCTTCAACTGCGATCAAGTCATACTCACACAGTAAACGATCTTTGACTGATTCTCCTAAGAAATCCTTTCGTTCTTCTGCCCTTTTGATGACATTGTCTTTAAATTCCAGAGTACTTACGTTACTGATCTTGCGTCGGTACTTTTCTTTTTTTCTTGACTCTACTGCTGCATCAGCTGGTTGGCCACAAAATAAACATAGTTTTTTGAAATCAAAAACATCATTCCTTTTTTTACGAGGCATACTGGGTGATAGTAAAAGTTTACCTTCTAAGCGTCGTTTCGATGACGCTATGGAATTTTTACTAATGTACACTTTTCGACACTCAACATGCACATACACAGAAGTTAAAGTATTTAAGAAGTCTATGTGACCGTCATTTCTTTCGATACTAGCAGTTTTTAAAGTTTTCAAGCCACGCACTACGTTAACAAAATTACCTTCTGAAAGTGGCTTCTCACAAATAAAACACAAACAAGCCATAATTTTTAAAATTTTACGTCCGTCCTTGCCAAGATCTGAAACGAGAATAAACTCAGTGAATAGAAAGCGGTCACTCGAAAAAAAAAAACAGTTTTCAATACGGAACATCTGTCTCATGAACTAACTTTACAATGAACTAGCTTTTGCCCACGACTTCGTTCGCGTAGATATTGTACGTAACCATAGGTGATCCATCATTATGGCTTATACATAAAAGATAGATATAAACTATCGCGGACTTTTTTGTAGAACTATTTAGGAGAAACAATTCCACCATACATTATATTTGTATAACTCTTACAATTTTTGCACCGCACGTCAAAATAGCTCGCAGAAGACAGATTTTTTCCGACTTACTTAAGACTTACACTCGTTATATTTTGACCAATTTACACAATAACTTTATTAATTATAGCATATGTGTTGTTCTGATGTATGAGCTATATTATTCTAAAATTTCATTAAAATACATTCAGTAGTTTTTTGCGTGACAGAGTAAAAAACATCCACACATCCTCACAAACTTTCACGTTTATAATATTAGTAGGATGAAGAAGGTCGTATTATATGGGGATCTGAATTCTCATTTCAGGTATAAACGTCATAGAAAAGGGTCGTAATACAGGGTCCGTCTTCCCAGTTATAATCATGATAACAAAATAAGTATTTAACTTACATATAACAAACCAGTCTTTATAACCCTCAGACCAATACTTTTTTATTGGTCTGAAGTGTAATCGTAACATACATATATTATATAAAAAGGCAGGGTTCTGGGGCAGAAGGAAGGTATGGTAATGTTTTTTGAGTGTATGTATCTGTATTATGTATGTATTATGTCTATTTCTTTGATACGACCTAAACGACTTAATGGTTTTTAACATTATAGGATGTCTTTAAATTCATCTTTGTCGTGGAAGTGCTATTACACTTCCACCACTAAGACAAACTATAAATTATAAACTTTTTATGCAGTAGAGTTTATTTAATTACCATTGGACCTGTTTTAACCATCGGACTTTTTTCTAGTTAGATTTAAGTTAATAATAATAATAATAATTTCTTTATTCAGGAATTTTTTTTCAAAAATATACATTTGCATTTGCGCCTGAACTAAGCATTAAGCTTGTATCTTAGGCAACAGTGCTCTTTCTTATGGGACAATTTTACAAAAATCATCTGATTTAGAAACTTACGTAAACATATCAACAATTTTGTTTTAAAGTATAAAATTAAACCTAAATATTTGTTAGTTTTTTAAGTGTGGAGTGTCAATTGTGTGTGTGTGTGTCTATGCGAGGGAGAAGGTGAGTAGTATTTTTTTTTATAAGATAAGGGTGACAAACGAGCACAGTCCACCTGATGGTTAGTGGTCGCTGCAGCCCATAGACATCTACATCTATCCTCTATTACAAATCAAAATGTAGATGCGTTGTCACCCGTGAGGACTAAGATGGAATGCCTCATTTCCAGTAAAAAGGGCCTCCGGCCACCTGCACTCACCAAGCGAAACGCATAGGTAAACCTCTACTTCACGCTGGTTTTCTGTGAGGTCGTGGTACCACCCCGGTTCTAGCCGGCCCATCCGTGCGACAGCAAAAGCTGCCGCGTGGCTCTACCACTGTTAATTTAAAGAAACCTTTAGGATTACCGTGCGCCTGCTTACCTTTATCTAGAACTCACTGAGTCATGTATTTGGGTATTCCTATTGATTACCAATTGAGCTTTAAAGAACATTTAGATGTATTAACATCCCGAGTTCGAAAACTAATATACGTCTCACACAATACCAGCGTAAAATAGCAGCTTAACACTGCTGTGCTTCGTACGGTGAGTGTGGGGAACCCGATACCTTTTTACTGGAAAAAAGGCATTCCTTCTTAGTTATTACGGGTGACATCGCATCTGCATTTTGATTCACAAACGAGGATAGGTGTAGATATCTATGGGCCACAGCAAACACTTATTAGGTGATTGTGTGCTCGCTTATCACCTTCTCCTATAAAAAAAAAAATACAACATGTTTTCTTTCCTAAATAAAAATAAAAATACCTGATATCAATCGTTTACTTCACTCATTACAACGTTCTAACATACAATCAAATTAGAACTACAAACTTTGATAAAGCAACCTCAGCGTTTGTATTAAGCGGAATAAATATTAAATGTATGTCAAATTAGTAGAGCAAGAGAAGAAATAAACAAAGGACTATTTATAATTTGACAAAATGTCCTGACGATTTAATAACATACTTTGGGCGCTCATGAAAATGTGCGCTAAAAGCGTGAGCGATATTGCCATCTCTGTCCAGTTTTATACGCGCTTTACACCCGGAATCTTTTTTTGAACAATAGTAATTCCTCGAGTGTGCGTTTTGGGAGTACGTATATCCGTCCATCATAAGCAAATACTTCCCTTTAGGCGTTGGAATGAATTTGTATACCAGTTTATCTGAAATTATAAAATCAATTTAAATAATAAGAAAGCGATAGTTCTTACATGAACAATGGAAAATATTAACTTAACTGAAAAAGACTAAGCTTATGAATTAAATATTTGCAAAGAAAAACTGGTAAAAACTAGATAATCGTAAACGTAAAAAAAAGGTATAGCATTTCAGTTATTACAAATTAATTCGAATCGACGACAGTCGCAAACTGCAACATTTCTTAGGAATGATTTTTCTATAGATATGACAACGCACTCACATTCGCTATTAAACTGAGTGTAGTGCTATAGCTGTCATCACTGAGTAAACGTATATGAGATGGTACCGAACTGGTAGATCCGTATCACTATGAACTGAGATAAGGCCTTACCTAATATATTCCAGAGTATGATGTAGATTGAAAGTTGAACTTTAGTTATAAACAATAACAGCCCTTAATATATTTGACAAGGAACACCTTTTGGACTAAAATTACGTTAAATTCCGTTAACATATAAACATTCCTTAATATTAAAAATATAGCTATAGTTAGTCGAACGCTATTCCTATAGGCGTAAAGATATTACGTTTTATTAATACAGTAGTGTTTGGAACAACCAACTGTATTGTACAATAATAATTAAAATTGTTTAATCTATACAAATAAAAAAAAGATTCCTCCCTGGAATCTGGTTCATAAACATCTTCAACCTGGAGACGTGATTTTTTTGAGATGAGTATGTCGTAACACCAATTTTGAAGTCATAACATTTTGTATATTCATTGCAAAAGCAACTTAAACACTTCATTTTCAACTTTCTTGGATCCTCAATGTCACCTAATGGGCACGCAGAGTAGCAGGAAACGTATTTATTTGTTCTTTAGCACTAACAAAGAAAGCGTCTTTCTCTTATACGTTATAATCTCTATATATTTTGTCGTCAATAACGAGAGCATTGATGCTAGGAGAATGTTCCTAGATAGCATCTGACAAATCGCTCAGAGATGATATATAATTGCCACTAGCCACCAATAGGTCTGCTAATCTCTTACAGACAGTATCAGGAGACCCCTTACCGTGTCCGGCTGTTGTGGTAATTCCAAGTAAAGTTTTCTAGGCTTGGGTAAAAGTATGTTAAATGAGTGACAAGAAAGTAAAACATGTGTTTGTTGCGGCTTTGTGTTATTTGTCTATATTTTGAAGGGCAAGTCGTTGCCTACGCTCCCTAGCTCTCTTCTTCCACATTATGCGTGCCTTACGCTGCTCTCTGAAAGTCATTTGGTCGACAGTTTTTATTATTCCTTTCTCCTTCTTTTTTAAATATCTTTCCTTTTCTTTTTGTTTATGTATTTTATATTTTTCTGGATCATTTTTAATTTTTTGATAGCGTAACCTCTCCGCTTGACGCTTCTTCTCTAATTTTTCTTCGCGTGTTAACTTTTGCGTGGTGCCATGATCTGTAACAATATTATAAACAACAATGTAATAACAATAAATCAATAAAATGGGACCATAAACAAAGAAATAAGCCGCGGATGTACAGTAATGAGTTTTAATTCTTTACTTAATAGAAGTTTAGAACGTTAACTATACCTGAATTAGAACGTTAACTATATCTGAATTAATTAATATCTAATGACACACATTATCTCCCTTGGTCAGTGAGTATCTCCCCTCCCTAAAGATAATTATCTTGCCAGGGGAAATACGGCAGGGGAGAGACGTTTCCTTTACTAACTTAAGTTTTTTGACTGACACTCTTCCATTACACTATTGTTGAAATGAAGCAATAAATGCAAAATAAATAAAGTGAATTATATTATAAATTTTATGACTTACCAGTGGAGAGAAACATTAACTTTGCAAAACAACTGCACCGCACTGTTGCGTCGCACCAACTAAATAATGACCAATGAGCAATTTAACGCCTCGTTTATTCAGTGTTACCAACTTCTCGTTGATGCGGGTCCTTTAGCGCCATTTTGAATATGGCCATCTAATATGCTCGTTTTGTTTGTTATCGGATCGAAATTCGCTAGGGTAGATACATTAAAAACCGGGACAAAAATAAAGTTTAAAAATTATTGACAACAGACAAATGTTTTTGTATCTTTTACTTTATTACACTTAAGTATACTTATTTAAATTTGTGCTAAATATACTTTTACTGGGCATTTGTGACAAAGAATGTATGTAATGTCTGCATGTTTAACCGAAAACGTCAAGGGGACAAACCAGGGTAAAAACATTTCCAGACTTAAGTATTAAAATTCAGGAACATGTGCTTTATTTGGGCATTCAATCATAACGCTATCTATGAAAAACATTAATATGCTGCGATTTATTGCAAAAAAGAGATCTATTTTATAATGATTGCTGTGCATATTACCTCTTATCATAGCATTCTACCGTACCCGTACAACAATTTAATACATAATAAAACACGTCAAACCATTGAAGAATGTTTATTTTAAAAATCACAAATGAGATTCACAATGCTTACAATTTTATGTATTCGCCTTTTGAAGTCTTGACATACTTTGGCGGCTCGTGGTTATGATCCAAACGCGTAAGCACTATATTTCCACTCGGTCCTAACTTAAGACGGGCTCTGCAACCGTAGATCTTTTTAGAACAATAGTAATAACAAGACGTTAAATGTTGTGAAAATGTATAATCTTTGTACATTACTAGATGCTTCCCTTTAGCTCTGCGTGTTGGTATCAAATGATATTCTCGAGTGTCTGTAAAAAGAAGTTTTTTTATTAAAATAACTAGATAATTACTAAGGGTTAAAACATTATTTTGGAATAACTTAAGAAAAATAGAAAGAAATAATTGCCAATATAAGAAAATACGAAGAATCTAAAGACTACTTTTAACTAAATATATATAAATAGGCAACTTGCACCATCTGAATATTACTAATATTTGTACTACTAATCATTTGTATCTAAGATCGTCTGTTATATCCTGAATCAAGATCTAAAATATAATCATTTTTGTACTATATTTTCACTAAAGTTAAAGGAGTTGAAGAACAGAGAAAGAAATTTCCGTAAACATTTTTACTAATAATAAATTTAAATTGTTCTAGTCTAATTAAAAATTCGTTAACATTTAGAACTATTTGTTAAAATTTTAAACATAAGTACTTACTATTTTAAATGACCACATTTTACAATAAAATCTTAATTTACACGTATTTACAAGTATTTTGGTAGATATATACAAGGTTATATTGTAATACCTATGTAACATATAAAATAAACTTCAAGGAATATGTTACAAAATACTTGATATAAGGCGTATTTATTAATCAACAACATTTTCAACACCAACACCTCAAATGACGACCGGGTAATTATTTCGTTTGGTGTAAATCGGATGTCCTGGTGAATTTCTCCCGTAAAACTAAATTGGATTTATACCGTGCAATACCATGTATTATATAGTACTAAATGTACCATACAATGGGTATTCATACATTTTGGGTATTTTATAATTAATCTTGAATTTTTTAATCATTAAAGAGTCACTACCATGTGTGTCCAATATAACATTTTCATCACTATTTCAGCAAATATGTCATTGTGTATCTACTTCCTCGGTAAGTACACAAAATATTAGAATAGGTTTTATTTTCCCTGATTACTTAACCATTTAGTTAGGACGTAACCAATAGAACATATTTCAGAACATTAACCGGTGCAATGCCAAGCGAAAAATATCTGATTTTATCATTACCATGTTTGTCATTACTATGGATTACCGTGACTGTATTAAACCACGGTAAAGACGACGATAACATGATAATTACTTTCTTTGCTATTTTGTATTCTATTGATAGAAAACATATAAAACATAAGTAAATATTAAGTTTTTTTTTTTTACACTAGTACTGATTGTAATTTGCGTATAATTAAACATTGTATATTATATACGCCGATTTTGCTTGTTCTAGACGAAAAAATAGACATTCCACGGAGTAACAAGCAAATAAACAGAAAAAAGATATTAAGAAAAAAAACTATTAGCAGGACAAAAAAGGCGCAACAAAATAAAGTTTAACCCTGAGTTATACAAAGCATACTTAGAAAAAGCACGCTATATTCGAAGAAAGGATGTTGGATGGATGTTGAAAAAGCCATAATATTTGGCGATATTTTAAAGAGTAACCATCAATCAAGATTACGAGAACCAGAAAAAGGCTGAAAAACAAAAGTTTTGAGCTTGAAAATATAGAACCAGTACGCGAGGAATTGAAAAAATATAATTTACTTAAGGAATTGCCTAAACTGGCAAGGAAATCTAATGGAAAAGAAAAAGAAGAGAAAATTGATAGTGACATTAAATGTTCTTCATTAAATTCTAGAATGACCTCTGGTAAAAAAGGACTACATTACTTTAAAGAAACAAAAGTAGCAGAAGACGTTTCTAAGAGATAGTCTATTGAATCTGCACAAAAAGCAGAGCCATTTTGGGTTATAGCTCCTACAGAAAAGGATAGAGAGACCTGCATGTGTAAAATACACGAAAATGTAGATTTGCTGGCAAAAGCTCTTCATAAAAACAGAATAATTATCAAAAAATCTGCAAAATACGTATATCGAGATTAAGTTATAATTATTATAGAATTTGAAAATTATTTTGTGAGATTGTCTTTACCAAAGAAGACTTTTAATAAACATTTATTCCATTGATATGTTTTTATTAAGATTTTAAATTTTTAATACATGTTTAAGCGAAAAAGAACAGTACATAGTATCATTTATTAATGCCGTGTTCAAACGTCATTGCCGTGTGCACGATTTCGATGATTCTTTTTTTATTTGAAAGCTGTTGCTTCACATGTGGTCCCATATAAATTTGATGAAGGTTTGACCAATACTTTTGTTAGTTTTAGTAATTTATATGAAGTCAGTTGTACAAAATTTTTAATTTTTAATTTTTTAACCGCTACTTAACAGATTTTTACAACGGCAGGAGATAGAAACACGTCCTAAATAATTATTGATGGACTACAATATATTCCGATATTCGTCATCATTCATCGTGACCTACCGACTTGGCAGATTTCCATTTACACACAAGTTAATATAATGCATTTTAGAGACATACTGTATGAAATCGAATAAAATAAATCGATAGATACATATATGTGCATATTATATGTACAGTTACATTGTAAATACAAACACTTGGGTATTTACACCACAATCAACGAAATGAACAAAGTGGAGTAAAGATAATAAAGATGACAATCATGCAAAAAAAATATCGTTTTGCTATGGACTTCATTATCTTTTGTATTTAAAACTTAAATATTAAAAATATTTTACAATGCATTATAGTACTTATTGCACAGACAATAAATCGTATTTTTAATGATATTCTAAAGCTATATTATGACTAGTAAATATCCTATTTATGGGGTAAATTAATATATAAACTTAACTGTTAAACCAAATATTGGTATTTTATTGTATTTAATTATTTCAAGCGAGAACATATGACGGAAATAAAAGTTTACAAATATAATTAAGTTTACAAAATCTGCATATCCTTTTTTTTCACGAGAAGAACGCTGAACTCTTCGTCATCACCCACATTGTCGTTGATGTGACTGATCACCTCGTCTGAATGTTTCTCATGAATGTGTTGAAATAACATTAAACTTTCTGGATCCTGGCGGTGTATAATTTCATCGCAACTTCGACATTTGAAATTGTTGCTCCCTTGGTCCTCAAAATATGTCGCTTCGAAGCTTTTAGTAATTATATCTAAAATAAATTTCAAAATATCAAAACAAGGTGTGTTTTGATAGATAATAAATATTATAGTATGTAGTACTTTGAACTGATATATTACGTTACCCTGCTAGCTTCTGCAAGGGTTTTTTTTGTATTGTTATGACTTATAACTTTAATTAACATATGTAACTAAAGCTTACACTATATGTCGTTAACTTACATTATATTATGTTGTTAACGACTGCCTCGTTGGCCTAGTGCTCGTAAGCGCGACTGCTGATTCTGAGATTCTGGGTTGAAATCTGGGCCAAAATCAGCTATTGGTTTTCCTAAGAAATTGTAAGTAGCAGCCCGGAGTCGGGAAGTTGATGGTATTTCCCTCTCCCCATCCCCTTGTGCCTCGAAAAGCGAGTTAAGTAGTTGTTTCTGCGCTTGATCTTTTTCAGGTCATGTTGGATTACAATACCAATAGAAAAAATATATAGTATATAAAATATAGAGCATATTCTCGTTGCTGCTCCTGCACCTGTGCTTGCGCGCACACTCGTGCACTATCACTACCAGGATTATCTTGCCCTACGCCATCTGCGGCTTGTCTCCGTGAAAATTGGCCGCCGTGATTGAAATTCGGTTTGCCGGAGGCATTATTACTACTAATATGTTGTTAACTTTCGAACTTGCGATAGATTAATCAAATATATGAAAATTAAAAAATACAATACACCTTTGCAACTTTTGTTATCTTTAGTTGATTTATTTTAAATACTAATTTGTTATATTATATATATTCCAATTATTATTTTTTTTTATAATAAAGAACTCCATACCTTTTCTTTTCTTAGGAGGATCCAATAATGTACTTAAAGTTCCCCCCTTATTTTCTTGGTTGTATTCCGGCGCATATTTTTTTATTAAATTAAACTGTTCCGTGTGTTTCACGACTAAGTGGCGTTTTAAATTGGAACTATTCTGAGGGAAAATAGAGATATCCCTGTGGCAAAATATGCACGTGTATAGTTGATTCTCAACAACCGGAATGAAAAAGTTCCATACGCATGTCTTGATTTTTCCTGAAATTTAAATTCCTTTTAATAAACACTTAGAACGTTATCTGTGTTAAAAGGTAAAACGCCGGCTAACACTGCTCCGACAGATGCTCGCCAATTATAAATTACTCTGATTTGATATTTTAATCGAGTGTACTCTTATGGCATGTACAGCCTGCGTCACGCAGCGGCACTCATTGAGTTGTATCCAACAAACCTGTGTTTACTGTGTAGTGGCGGTGTAAGTATCCACTTCCCCATATCACCCTGTGGGTGTCGTAAGAGGCGACAGAGGGAAAATTATACAGGAGATGGGCAGCAACATATTTGTGATAACAACTCAACATAATATAAACTGCGGACAGCGTGGCAACTATGGCAAAATCATATATAAATCAATGAATAAGGCCTATGTTCCGCAGTGGAATTTTATAGGCTGTTATGGATGACTTTCCTGGCACGTGCAGCCTGCGTCACGCAGCTGCGCTTATTTATCTGTATGCAACAAACCTCCATGCGGGATCACGCACCGGGTAACCGTCGCATAAAAACGCCGCGCGATGCGGGCAACCCGTGTTTTTGAATTCTAAGGAACAGCCACGTGCGCTTGTAACCGCAGGCGTGTCCCGCTTAAAGTAGCGGTCACCCTTCCAATAGCAATCGTTTTTGAACGTTAAGTCATCATCGATTATTATCATTACAGCCCATCACAAGTATAATGCTAAACACAATGCACGGCCACCTGCATATATTTTGTGGAAAAGGTGGCAAACGAGCTTACGGCTCACCTGATGGCAAGTGATCACCGCCGCCCATGAATAACTGCAACAGCGGAGGAATTGCAGGGTGAAAGGAAAGTTTCTAAGTCGTATTGTTACATTAACATTAAATTCCAGCATGCGGTTGTGGCGGACAGTAAATACCATGCACTGTATCACAGTGGTTAATTGCTAATCATAGAGATAATTATGGAATTTAGAGTTATGACACCGTGTAAGATGGTGGATATTTGTTGCTAAAATTAATGCGGACAATATATGAAGCAATTTCTCACTTACTTTTTCCTTGTACTACTCTTTGTGACAGCCATTTTATTTTGTTTTTTAAATTAGGGTCACTTATAGACAAATGTCCAATCTCTCCAAAGTCATTTGTCTCGGAGTCTGTATCTAGATTGTCAACATCTTGATATGCGGTTTCTTCCGGGATAGGACTTTGAGCACCTTCTGTGTCATTCTTGGAATTCATTTCAATTTCTCCTTCAATATGTTCTTCTAGAAATTCTTCGTCTTGTTCTAATACTTCTTGTTCTAATATCTCTTCTTCTAATACCTCTTCCTCCTCTTCAGTAGTGGATTCGTTTTCTACATCTTTACCGTCATCGTCACTTTGACCATGTAATTGCTGCATTTCCATTTCATATATGTTACTGTGTTTAGATCGAATGTGTCGTTTCATATTTCCGTACAGACCTTTTGGCATTTTTAAGACTTTTTGGCAAATACTACATTGGTTTTTATTTTCGCCGACTGTGGTGCAGTATTTTCTTACCCAACAAGGTCTAGGTCTACCAGTAGACCTTTTATCAGTATTAGCTACAAAGATTTTATAGGATTAATAACACTAAAATATTCAAAATTATTACAATAAAAGTCCAACTAGTGATAAAATCAACTCAAATAAAGATCAAGCAAAATATGTAAAGTAAAGTTGCAGCCTATTTACGTCCCACTGCTGGGCACAAGCCTCCTCTCATTTCTGAGAGCGTTTTTAGGCCAAGAAAATGTCCGCCGCGCTGCACAAATGCGTGTTGGCGAACTTCATATGTCTACGAAATTTTTTTTTCTTATTTCTCAGACATGCAGGTTTCCTCACGATGTTTTCCTTCACCGCCGAGCACGTGGTAAATCAGCACTTAAAATTGCAATTAACAATTTCATTGGTGCCGGCGGGGATCGAACCCTGCTCGAGTACTGTGAAGCTTACAGCGAGCGCTAACCATCTGAGCTACCACGGCTCAGATTTAATATGTATTTTGCTTGTATTACATTGTTTTATAAGTTAAATGCTTGAAATCATAACATTTACCAGTAAGCAATGGTAACAGTACAACATAATTTGTGAAACCTTAACCTTTGTACTGGAAACCTTAAAATTCACCATAGTTCAGGCTCTTACTTAAGTCAACATAAGCGTTTTAGGGAACACCTCACGTGAGTTTGTAAATCTTAGCTAGAAGTTTAGTATGTTTACGCAAATTAATGTTAGAGGTAGTTGTATAATTTACGAAGTAAAATTATAAACACATCTTTTAATTATTTCTTATATATACGCGAATACTACACATTCAAAGTAAATAATTTTACGAATGTTATCGCGTTTATTGTTAACTTTATTAATCCCCGACGTTTCATATACAAACATATTTTAAAAGAAACTTTATACGCACAAAAATTAGTTCGTATGGTGAGTGTAGAGAACCGGAGATATATTATTTTTACTGGAAACGAATAATTCCATCTTAGTGCTCAGGGGTGACTGCACATCTGTATTTTGATTTTAAACGATGATAGGTGTAGATGTCTATGGGCCACAGCCTCCACTTACCATTAAATGGACTGTGTTCTCGTCTGTTACCCTTATTCTATAAAAAAAAAAACGTTACCACTACACTAAGATTTTTTCCTGAATCATGGAGATGTTTTACATAAATTACACAAGGACAAATATAAACCGATACGATTACGAGTGTTTGTAGGGTCATACAAACTCTTGTTTAGTGCGGGATTCGGAGTAGTAAATTACACGTGCACTAACATCAAAACCCGGAACAATAATTATCTGTATAAGTTCGTCCAGGATTTTAACCCACGGTTTTCTCAACGATTAGTCACTAAGCTAGCATTGAAACTGTGGTGTGGTTTCACCCTTTTTTTTAAATTTCACCCAAATAATAATAACGAATTATAAAATCATGAATACATACGTTGTGTTTTCTTCTGTATTAAAGGCTGAATTTTTAAGTATAGAGCTCGATGCCTCGTTTTAAAATGTCTAACTATATGGCGCTTCATTTTAGACGAGCAAATTTTACATACTATATTATTGGACTCGTCGTTTTCGAAAAAGTTCCAATAAAAACTCCTTTTGCCTGAAAAATATGAAATACATTTAAAATGTGCTGATAAACGTTTACACAGTTGATGTATCATTCAAAGCAAACGTTTTTAATTAAACATTCATTGAATTTATTTACATTATTTTCATTACATTTCCACTTGCGATATGTCATAAGTTTAAACCATCATTATTATAATTTGCAGGTGTAAAAATATATTGTGGTCTTTCAGGTAAGTTCGTGGACTTATCAAGTTAAAACCTATTTCTTCATCAGTTAAATTATTTTCACCACCAAAAACTCCCAATATTACAGCAGCTGCACATAGGTATTCAAAAGAATGGTGGCGAAATATTCAAACACTAGTCAATTTTAAGATGATATTAAGTCTCGTGGTGTCACAGTCACTTTGAATTAGAGTGATAGAGACAGCACGAGACTTAATGCCATCTTAAAATTGAGTAGTGCTTGAGTATTTATTGGGCATACGTCGTCCAGTCCGCAGCACCGCTTCTTTCCCCGTGACAATGCTGGAAAGAATTGTAGGTGGACGCTATTACGCTTAAAGCGCACTTTTGGAACCCATTTTAAGAAAACTTTTTTAAGGGGGGATTTGTATTCAAAATTAAAACGTGATATTTATTCAAACGTACTTACTATAACATTAATATTAAAACTTGCTTAATTTCAGTACGATTAATTAGCTTAAAACAGAATTATAAATATATAAAAATGCCATTTATTTATATTTATTTATTACTACATCAGTTTATTACATTCACGTCAATTTTACATAATGTCCTGATTGCGTTTTAAAATACTTTGGTGGATCGTGAAGATGGTTCAGATTTGCGGATACCACTTTGCCATCGCGTCCTAACTTAACACGGGCTTTGCAGCCAGAATTCTTTTTAGAGCAGTAATAATAGCACGAGTAAGAATGCTGGGAGAAAGTATATCCGCGGCACATTAACAGATGTCTGCCTCTGCAAGTGGAGGTCTGCACAAACTCGTAACTAATGTCACCTGAAAACAGAAGTAAGCATACAAGTTTGTGACATACAATTCTTAATGTATTTTTTTTTTGAATTTTGATGTTTCTTATGTGATATTTAAATATAATTTAGACCTTACTTTACTATAATTAATAAATTTTAAACCTTAAGGCTGCGCACCAAACAAAGTCACGCAAAATAAAATTGAATTTTACTATAGTAAATCAAGTTTAAAACTGAAACCCTTGTCCACTTACCATCAGGTGAACTGTGAGTACCTATCGTTTGTTACCCATATTTAAAAAAAAAAACAAAGATATCTTTAATTTGTTATCATTGTGCTGAAATTTTTCAAATAAATAGGATAATAATAATAATAATATCTAAGTGGAGAAAAAGTGCAGAGTTCGGTTCAGTTTTAGTTCTGTTTTCGAAATATATGGACCAAAATTAGATATACTTAAATACTAATATTAGATAACTGATTGTGTGCTATATGGATTACTGTACAGATTAGATAGATCATTTTATATTCCGTGAAAGACGGTTGTCCATCTCAATCGATCGCACTCTAACTACATGCATGCAATATTTGTTCCGCCCTGTTTCGGCAATCACTGATTAGGTACTGATTGGCAATCAGTCGCAATTGCTCTGGGAAGGTGACTTTGTACGAGCTCTTTAAACATAAAGGATAGCGTTTCCGGCAAGGGGGGGAGGGGTTCTTTTAAATGTCATTTCGTCAAATAAAGCCTAAACTTTATACATTATGTACTCTTTTTTAAAAACAAATAGCATACTATTAGAATTATAGTAGGCTTCTAATAGTAGGTATCTAAAATTAGAGAATAATTTCATTGATAGTAAATACGAGTATTTATATACATTTAGTTTCAATATAAATTAATAAATAGATTGTACGTAGTAGAACTATGCTGCAGCTATAGCTTAATTGTATACTTAATTGTAGCACGAATGGGTCGGCTCGACCGGGGAAGGACACAGAATACCAGCGTAAAATAGCAGCTTAATGCTGCTGTGTTTCGTATGGTGAGTGTAGAGAACCGGAGACCCTTTTTACTGGAAACAAGGCATTCCATCTTAGTCCTCACGGTTGACAACGTACCTGCAATTTGATTCGCAAACGAGGATAGATGTAGACGTACATGGGCCTAAACAACCAATTACCATCAGGTGGACTGTGTGCTCGATTGTCATCCTTTTCCTATAAAAAAAGATTCGTGGCAAAGTTAAAAGCGCCCACTTCTAAATTTTTTGCTTGCTTTGATAATTCAAGAAAAACACATGAAAGCTTAAAATGTAATATTTCTCATAGTTAATAAGCCTTTACATTGGTAGGTAATTTATTTAACTTCATATAAACAACACATGTGGCGACCTTTTAATACATGCAAGAAGTCGATGGATGCCTGTGGCTCAGGATTGGGACCGTGTTTTGTGACATTTTTTCTCCTTCGGACATATTGTTAATCGCGAGTATTCTAGTACTTTCCCATTGAATGAGCGGAACGTTTGAATGACCTCGGACTAACCTTAGAATGTTCTACTCTTATTGGGTACAAAAGCGTGCGCCAATAAAAAAAATCGGAAAATCAATTGTTTCGGGAACACGATAGTGGACTCTACCTCGGAAAGCGACTACGAGCAATCGACCGCCGATCGAATTGATATCTGCCACTATTAAGTGCCTCGCCGAAGCAGCTTAACGATTGGTCTTGGAACGATATGGACAACGTGACTGTACACTTCCTGTGTGTAAAGAATACTTCCATTTCTCATCATTATCGCCGTTTTTAATCACCCTGCATGTAACAATATAAACAATAACATGGAATATACTTTATACCCTACTTAGTTATGATGGAGTGACTTAAGGCTGGTAAATGTGGCATCGCTTCTTATCATTCACTGAACAATACCAATATAGGAATCAAACCCTTGAAAAACCCAATTAAAACAATGAAATTATTACAGAAAACATCTTAAGAAAAATATTATCATGCGTTTAATTTAAAGGAAATTATTAGATAAATAATATATATTATCAAAATGTTGAATATAATGTAACGTGGTGTCACTTGTTACTCATTTAGAAATTAGGTACTTATCTCAAACAATATCATGATGACTCTTTTTAAATATAAATGGTAAATAATAAAATGAGTGTCAGTCAGCCAATAAAAAGAGTCACTGTTTTCGGACTTTACAGTCGCTCACAGCCAGTCGCTCAAGTAGTGTGGATTCGACCAAGCAAGAATATCACTCACTCCACTACTCGCGTATAAATAGAATAGCATTTAACGATTTACAAATCGTTTAAAATCGAGGTTTGGTCGAATCCACTCTTAGTTTTAATAACCAGTATTCATTATTTTTGAAACCTTAAACCTTAAATTCACATTCACATTAATATCAGTTTAAATACTTACCTTAGTTTAATATAGAAGAAAAGAAAGGAAAAAAAAACTTTATTTGTTGCTTATAGGTATATACAACACTAATTATAGACGAAATCTTAGACAAATAAAATTTACATTTTACATGCTTTGAGCAGCACTGATCGATTAAATTATAAGTAAAATAAAAGTTGAAACTGTGACGAACAAAACCAGAATACAATTTTTGAGCAAAGTAACATTCATAGCACGCGTTGATGACGCAGCAAAAGTGTCTAAGTTCAGCATGAGCTCTCTCAGCTAAGCGGAGACTCGCAACACTGATTTTGAGCACGACCCACAGATCCTAAGCGGATAGTGGAAAAAAATAATATAACTAATTAGCATTTAATATTGAACGAGAAGTTGCGTACCAGCGTGTTACATATATATAAATACATATATATTAATTATATAACAATCAAATTACAGTTAATAGATTAAATAATTAAATAATTCTGAATTAATGACTAATTATAATAACAATAATTACGCCATCTTTATCTATACAAATAAATAAAATTGAAGTGTCTGTTTTTAATGTCAAAATTACAGCTTTTTACTAAATGCATATGAAAGTATATAAGGTACTAATAACAAAAATACTCTGAAAAATATCTGTCTGTTTGTTCCGGCTAATCTTCGAAATGGCTGGACCGATTTTGACGGGATTTTCACTGGCAGATCAGCTATCTGCCAGTGAAAATTCCGTCAAAATCACATATCACAAGGAGTAACTTAGACTATTTTATTTTAGAATAAGACTTAGGGTTCTGCGCAAAAAAATTAAAACCCCAAATAACACGCGGGCGAAGTCGCGGGGAACAGCTAGTCAGGCATAAACATTAAAGGAAAAAGTATTAGGGACTAGGAGCGTTGGAATTTTATTCAGTACAGAAAAGGTTGGGAACATCTGGATTATATGTTAGTAATAAATAATAACACATTTCATACATCGAATACTGAGAGATCTATCTGAAATCCTAAGTTGGATGAATTCATTCAAACTATAACATAAAACATCACAGTAATTTACTTAGTAAGTAGCTGGATATCTTCAATGATATCTGGTGGGCACAGCCCTACAATTATAAACTATTCATACAATTTTCGTAAATTACCATAAAAATCAAGTGATTGACATTAAAATAATCACTTTATTAATTATAAACAGTACAGAAAGTTGATCAAAAAAATGTGCTCAGAACACACACAAACACAATATTTTGTCAACAATATCTCATTAACATTAATACAATTTCATTTTATCGATTGTTTCCCATCATCGTCTAATCCATTATACCTAGTCTGTTCGGCGAGAGATAATAAAAAAACAGGGTTCCTAAACTCATTACAAATTGCGGCCCGCTAAGTATATCAGAACGGAATAGCAATATGACCGCCGCGTATATTCGCCCGTCCGGCCTCGCGCTTGACAACAGCTGCGATCCTCGTATCACAAAACTCGGTTACACAGATTGCGCTACTTGAGCGACAGTCGCTCGCTATTGGGAGATGTTTTCATAATATTTATCAACTCTTGCCGAACAGACTTTATAATATATATATATATATATATATATATATATATATATATATATATATATATATACTGCAAATTACCGTTTTATTACAAAAAGTAGTTTATAATTAGTCTAAGGTTAGAGCTAGCTTGAGTCTGATTCTAAAGAAGTCCCGTGGAAAATATGCGAACTAAAATATAAAGTATGGAATTTGATAGCAATCAAATTTCGCGAAGACTGTGGCGCCGCAGCTAGGAGACTCGAGACACTATGTATAAACAACTTTTTTTTAATAAGCTAAGTATTCATAATTTAACGTAATCTCCCGATGGTAACTTCATGTAGTTAGGCGCGCCGTGGATGTGGTTACGGTCGGCGAAGATTATACTACCGTCAGAGTCGAGCTTGATGCGTGCGAGACATCCGGTCTTTCGCTTCGAACAGTAAAAGAATCGAGTGAACATGTGCTGGTAATACGTGAATCCCTTATGCATCAACAACTGCTTGCCTTTGCATCTGGTAGTGGGTATCAGCTTGTAGTCAAAACGTCCCAACGCTGAAAGGCACGTAATGTTGTTTTACAAATGGTTTGTTTAATTTATATAGTTAAGCTAGCTGGCCGGGCAGGCGTTATTATGCCTTTTATTAAGCCTTAGTTGTTCAGAAGTTACACGATCACCAACAGACGCACTAACGATTATATAAACATACGGTAGAGCTTCAGCCAAATTCGAAAAAGCAAAGGCCGACGCATAGGAAGTGTGCATATTTACACGAAGTATATCGAACATTCGAACCCGCCATAACTCAAAAACTATCAAACCAACACACTTGTAATTTATGTTGCACACCTAAAAAAGAATCCTTGAATATGTAGTCTAAAATAAAATTGAAGTGTCTGTTTGTAATGTCTGTAATATGAAAGTATATACGGTAATTATAACAAAAACACAATTTTTCAAAATTTTGTCTATCTGTCTGTTAGTTCTGGCTAATCTCCGAAACGGCTGAACCGATTTCGACGGCAATTTCACTGGCAGACAGATAAAATATTTTATATTACAATTTTTACTTTTACCAACTTTAGTAAATTCGAATGTTTAAAAAAGAAAATGACTATCGTTTTGAAACATTCAAATTTACGAACGCAGTAACATAATTTTTTTTAGCATTAATTATATTTTAATTTTCATACAACTACCGATGATGTTGAGTCTTTTAATTAAGCTGCAGTACGTAGACTACTACGTTTGTTATTATTATGGGAAAGCTTATTTATTTAAACCACAATACTTGCTCGAAACTAGCCAATAACAGGTACTCGAAAAACAAATATTTTAGACAGAATTTCTTATGTTTACGCGAACACTACACATTTAAATAAAACTAATTTTACGGATTTTATGGCGTATATATACAAATATACGCGATAAAATCCGTAAAATTAGTTTTATTTAAATATTTTAGACAGGTTCAAATTCTGCGAAATAACCAATGATAATCATAGCAGTGCATATCACAAATTACAGTTATTTTTACTATAACGAAGGTGAAGTACACGTTATTGATTTTTTACCATCATATTGATACCAAATAACCACCCACAGAATGACAGAGTAATACAACCTCAAATCTGATCAGGATAAAGTATGTATTTGAAAAAAATAAACAACATCATCATAAAAGTGAAATATATTTTATACACAACACGATTTAGCATAGTAGAAATAAATAAAACAATATTCATCTTTACTTCATTTATTAAATAGGTTGTTTGACTTAGGATAATTTAAAATATTGTCCCGATAGCGTCTGAATATACTTTGGTGGAGGATGGGTGTGATTGTAGTCCGCACTGATGATTGTTCCATCCTCGTCCAGTTTCACTCGAGCCCTACAGTTTCCAGACTGCTTTTTCGAACAATAGTAGTTGTTTGTCAGTTTCATTTGCGAATACGTGTATCCGTGGATCATGAGCAAATGTTTCCCGCGCTGCGTTGGTATAAATTGGTATTCATCTGTATCTGCAAAATTTTTACCGCGATATACCAGACTTCAATCGGAAAATAAAATGATTTTGGAGTTCCGTAATTTTCAACAGTAATGTTAGTCAATATAAGATAGCAAAGCTAATCGTACGTACCTACTGTTGTGCTTAGTCTAGGGTACCGAAAATAATCAACCGTATTACATAAAATTCGATCTCTATTCGCGGGAGGGTACTGGTAACCGGTAATAGCTTTCTTAAACCTACTACAACAGGAACCAGACTCTCATCATATAAGATTTCAAAATGAATACGTCTTAGATAGATAAATATATATAATATTATCATTTATATAATATTATCATTATAATATTATTACAAATATGATAAATTACAAATATAATATTATCATTTATATTCACAAATGATAATATTATTATTAATTTACAAATTAATTTACAAATTATATTCAGAAATGATAATATCCACAAATGATAATATTATTATTAATATAATTATTTATAAATGATAATATTACAAATATAATATTATCATTTATATTCACAATGAAGCCGTACACAATACACGGAGATAAAAAGTATAATAAAAAGTTATAATTAGGATTGAGGTTTTGAGAGATGTACTGCCACCTGTGAAATGGTCTTAGACCATCATAATATATATTATGCTGATCACAGCACTGTTCATTCTGATAAAAATTTTAAACCGCACGTCAATTTGGAAATATTATCTTCTAACTTTGATCTTTCTTCAGGAAGTGAATAAAATTTAAATAAATATATTTACAGCCTTACGTTCTACTTTTACCGTGTAGTGGCGGTGTATGAATATCAACTACCCCATAGCATCCCGTGGGTGTGGTAGGAGGCGACAGAGAAAAACAAATCAGGAGATGGGCAACTATGACAAATATCCTACTATGAGGCAATCTATGGGAGAGGCATATGTTCAGCAGTGGACTTTAAGTAACGGTAACGGTATGCGTTCCACTCAGACAGGCTGGCTCTCATTTCTGAGAGTGTCATAGAGTAATAAGTACGCGGCGCTGCTGCAATGTGTGTTGGGGGTCTTCACATATCCTCGAAATATTTATCCCACAGACTCATGTTTCCACACGATATTTTACTTAACGTGATAAATCAGCACTTAAAACTGAGATCAACTTTAATAATTTCATCCGTGCCGATGGTTATTTCACCCAGGTTGCTCGCGTACTGTGTAATTTATGAGCGCTTAGCTACCACGGCTCTGTAAATGATTTATTATTTTACCATGGTTATTTTTACAGTATCTCGCCTGGTTGGGACTTATTTATTTAATATTAGAACGACAATGGAGTTGTGTGTTATGTTTTAAGTTCGGAGTTCTTTAAGCTGCAAACGGCTAACAGTTTGGTAGATTTTGAGTGGAGGCTGTTTGCACAGAGTGGTACTATAAAGTTACGATATAGTTATACTACAGTACACTAATACTAGTTTTATATACTAGATGATGAAAGTCCTTTTGTAACTAGGAGCCATTTTGGGTAGTGTCACCCAATTACCAAGATCTGTGGCCAAACATCTACTGCATTCTTTCTGTTTGAAGGCTATAAGATTCAGTATAGAAAAAAATTACGATTGTAAAGCATACCCTCTTAGTCTTCAGGGATGACGAGACAACATATTTTTTTTTTGAAGTTAGTTCCAGGGGTCCATGGGTTGTAGTACCTAATTTGCCACTTGCTATGAGGTGGACTGTGAACTAATTTATTTTAATGTTAATATACCTAGTTAGGAGGCAAACATCGCCGCCCATGAACATCTGGGAATTTCAATGTTACCGACCATTTAGAAAAGCAAAGGCTGTTTTCTTGGAGTTCCCTAAATCATATTAGTCCAGTCCCTAAAAACCGCTGCCAGCAGTAAAGTGATTTTTATAGGATAAGGGTGACAAGCGAGCACACAGTCCACCTGATGGTAAGTGGTTGCTGTGGCCCATAGGTGTCTATATCTATCCTCGTTTGCAAATAAAATACAGATGCGTTGTCAGCTATGAGAACTAAGATGGAATGCCTCGTCTCCAATAAAAAGGGTCTTCGATTCTCTACACCCGTGCTGGTATTCTGTGAGAATGTGGTCCTTCCCCGGCCGAGGCAACCCATTAGTGCTACAACTACACTATTAATATAGCTGTAGCATGGCTCTACCACATATAAATTCATGGGTGAGTTGGTTTCAATTCGAGTTGTGTCGCAGTGAAAGATGATATATTTGAATGTATGTATAAATAGTATATTAGTAATTAATTCAGTATAATTACCTGAAATATTAAAAAGTTGCATGACAAGTCTACGGAGCATAAATTAGGAATATGTACTAATGATTTCTTATATTTACGCAAACACTACACATTTAAATAAAACTAGTTTTTACGGATTTTTTCGCATATATTAACTTAATAATAAATTCCCGACGTTTCGAGCACTTTGCAGCACGAAACGTCAGGAACATAAAATAAGTTAAATATATGCGATAACATTCATAAAATCTAGTTTTATTTAAAGGATTATATAATGTTTGCTTATCAAATTAAAGTTATAGGATGGATAAAGGTAATAAGAAAGTCTTGATATCTTTAAATATATTTTTATATTTACACCATTATGTACCTGTTGTAATAAGGTAAAAAATACATAAATTATTACAACCTTACAAGCAAACTCAAAATTTGAACAACAGATGGGTTATTGCGAAATGGTAAGATCCCAGCCCATTCCCCTTATAAACACAATAACAAATTATTTTAGATTGCAAATTAATAATACATTTAAAGAGGAACAGATATAATTTTTTTTATAGGATAGGATGGCAAACGAGCACACAGTCCACCTGATGGTAAGTGGTTGCTGTGGCCCATAGACATCTACATCTATCCTCGTTTGCGAATCAAAATGCGTTGTCACCCGTGAGGACTAAGATGGAATGCCTCTTTTCCAGTAAAAAGGGTCTCCGGTTCTCTACACTCACCATAAGAAACACAGCAGTGTTAAGCTACTATTTTACGCTGGTATTCTGTGAGAGCGTGGTCCTACCCCGGTCAAGGCGACCCATTCATGCCACAACTATACTACTAATACAGCTGCAGCATGGCTCTACCATGTAAAAAAACCTAAATTTTTCAACTTGTATGCATAACAACTATGAAATTTAGTCCTTAAATAGGCTTTAGGTAGGCTGGTCTCTTCAGTGTCATTATAACCAATTTCAACTGTATAATATCACTTTCTTTCATACTATTTTCAAGTGTGTTTCTTTAACACCCAGAAAGACATTTTCTAAGAATAGCCATCACAATAAAACATATATATAATTAATGAATCTGTTTTTTTTTAATTACATTGACCAGCACAAAATTATTCATTATTTCATACATAAATGACAATTAGACTAGTTGGCAATTAATTTCTATAAATAATTCATCATTGGCAAGCAATATTTGTTAAAATAAGTAAATGTTGCATAAATGTGTGTATAACTAATTCAGTCCATGTTATTACTGTAATTA